AGCCAAGTCAATGTCGGTGGCATAGCGAATCCATGATTTACCTTGCTAGTATTACTCTTAGTTAATACTTTGTGATTAGTATTTTTAATTAGTTCTTAGATTTAGCTTTAGTTATTTGTTTCTATTTGTAATTTATCTTTGTATTAGTATTTAACTTAAGAGGACCCTCCTGTAAACCACTTTTGTGACGCTGGCATCCTCATTAAAGATTATAGTATATATATGATTAAAAGTTTTAATAGGCTGTCACACTTGCAAGACTGCATATTTCCCTTGCCAAGACCCCAGTTTCTGCAGAATTCTTAACTGCCCTGTAGAGATCTGAGGAACAGAACCCGCAAAGTTCCTCATCATCACATTTAACAAACCCACAGTAACAAAACCCTTCGCAGTTAATCTCAGGTGAGATATATTGTTCCTTACTTTTTACAAAAGACACATTAAGAGGATCTTCTTTACACATCCACACACAGACTATAAGTCGTGACGAAGAACTAGTCTCCAACGCGTAGAGTGTGTGGAATGTCTTGCATACTGACTCAGCTTAACACGCTTTGCCTCTCTCCCTTGCATGCTGTTAAGGCCCAAGCCCAAACCATATTTTTCATACAAAATCTGCCCGTGATATGGAATTGCGTACCCAATAGTCCAAACAGTGGGGGAAACTCGAAGGAGCAAAGAGTTAGCATTAAAGAAATTCTGGCAAGCAATCTTTAGCTTAGCTACCTCACTCTCTCTAATTTCAACCCTAGAAAACAAGGAAACAGCATCTCTAAGCTGTAGGCCACAGTTGACCAAGGTAGCTATCTAAGTTTGGTTTCTGGTGGGTCACTTTCCCTACTAACACTGTCAGGTAGGAGCATGTACTTGTGGCACATTTTCTTTGTCTCTTTTCCTGTAAATCTTGGGTCAAAATATTTTTTCCTGCCCTCTGTGAACCACTTTTTGATCTTTTTTACAAGGTGAGTGAGTCCCAAATTATTTCTAAGGCAACTTAAATAACAAATGAAAGGGGAATCAGCTGGCAATTTTTTCGAGCTCATTGCAACCCCCAGGCATATGAGATTTTCCTAAAGCCAGCTCAAGAACCAAACTGTGCCAGAATTGCCATCCGTTGTTGCCGTTATGCAAAGGTTCCGCATAACCAACATCAATCATGCGACCAATGAGAGGCTCGAACTCTTGCCTCGATTTCAGATCTCTAATAAAATCCAACACCTTTTTTCGTTTTGTGGACACAGCATAGTTTTTTTCCTGCAATTGCTGCTTTAAATTTGAAACTTTGGCAGCCATCTCGAGGTGCTTGTCATAAGACCATGGCTGCCAAGTGTTTTTGCCACCCTTACCCAGGGTCCCATTGACAGTAGATTTTGTATCATCATTGACATTCCCAAATGGGGAGAAGTAAAATGCTGCATTAGGCAATTCTCCCCCCCATGAATGCTAGCCACTTCATGTCTGAGGGGAGAAGCTCAAATGAAAACTTAACATCAAAATCCATGACTTTGTAACTTTTGCTTGTGATGCTGTTCATATCATTAACTAATTTTCTAGCAAACCTTTGCATGCACACATGAGTTTCGCTACAGTTTGCACCAGCAATGAGAAAATTTTGATTTGGACTTGCAATGTGGCTAGCCACATTTAAACAAGAAATTAACCATGCTGTTGCTTCATCATCTTTGCCAAAAGGGGCCCCATCTGCCCCTATGGCAAGCCTAAAGTGATATTTGTCACTTCCCAAGTGGTTAAAGAATGATTTTGACCCAAGAGCTTGATCAATCACAATAAACATTTCAGCAAGCTTTAAACCAAATTCCTCTAGTTCCCGATAGGTTCCATTCGCTTCTTCGCCATTGAGTAAACCCAAGCAAAATTCAGGGGCCATGTCAATAATGTTTTCATTGAAGTCGATTTTTTTAATGTAGCTTATCAGCTTATCATAAGGCACCAACTTTGGCCAGGAAACACTAGGCATAATTTTGATACTGCATTTTCCTTTTGCTCTACTGCTATTTGTCATAGTCAAGTTTGTTCTGATGGATTTATATTTCTGCTTACTAAGTAATCCCCCACTATATAATGCCTTAATACTTCTCTTTAGGTTATCTTTGCTTTCTTCAAACTGATTTATCTCCTTTTTAACTACAACAGGTAACACCTTCTTTTTGACCTTGGCAGAATGTGAAATATAGCTAGCTAACCTAACTGGTGAACTGGCATTTATCAATGTCACCCACAAGCCATCAAAGGCAGGACTTTGATTAGTATCAGTTGCACCACGCAGTTCACCACATGCTTCTAGAGTCTCTTGCTTTCTTCTACTAGCAGACCTTTTTGCTTGGGGCACTTCAAACTGTTCAGAGTTTTCTTTCTGAAGCCTCGAACTGCTCCTTTGTCTTTTAAACTTCTTCCTCTTTTTTGCAGTTTGTTCCTTTGAACTCTGCTAACTATCTTCTAGCTTCCTTTTTCTTAGTAAACTAACTAACCTTTCCTGAGTGACTTCAATATGGTCTTCTGCCCTCTTTACCTATATACATGTATTTACAAAAAAGCACCAAATTAATCTTTATCTAGTTAAGACAAAACTTCTGGAAGCAGTAGTTTTATGTTGATCCTTTTTCAAGGCAGCTCTATGCATGAGCTTACTGTAAGAGAGTCTTTCCTATAAAATACTTTATTCAAGTGTTTGATATACATGTAAATGTAGCTTCTCAATCAAAACTAAAAGTCCTATGTTATTTTAAGATGACATATCCAAACCACCATCATGGTTCTGATTTCCATTGTTTTAACTTGATGATTTATTAGTAAGTTTGGGCAAGAACAATAAAAAATACCATATATACTAACATCAGCAAACATCAGACATGTCTTGGTGGCCAGCAGGGTTTAAATGGTTTAGATGGCAAATACCAAAGTTTCAAATCTTCCTAATAACGTAGTTCAGGTGATATGTAATCAAAATTCACAATCAAAGGAAAAAGATTACCAATCACCTTCTTTTTTACACAGTTTAACCTTCTTTGAGTTTCTTGAAATTTTGAATACATTTCTCTCAAGTCCTTGTTGTTTTTTGCATGCTGTCCAATGGGAAAGTAAGCTTTGGATATCGCTTTCTTGCTCCATTCCTTTCTGGGCATGTAACTTAAGCATCAGCTACAGCTGGTGACAGTTTGTACTTGTTCTCAAGCGAAGTAAAAAATACCAAAAATCGATGGGTAATATGTAATTCTGCAACACTTGACTAGCTCAGTAGACTTTACCGACAAAGAGTACTAGAAAGGCAATAACCCTAAAATCAAAAGAAGACCTAATTTGAGTGAGATGTTTAACAGTAGAAACTAGTAAATTAATGAACAGCATGTCTCACTGTGATTTCATACATGCTTTTCAAAATCAACTTTGAAGATCTTCTTTTAAATGGTAGCAATGGTTAAGTTTCCTGGAAAATTAGGAGTGGGGATTAAGCATCAGGGAAAAACAAATCAAAATAAAATATGCTGATATATTTGAGATGATGAAATCTTTAGCTACCTCACTCTC